AATTGGCCAGAAAGCTGGCTCCATGCTTCCTCGTCACCTGGTGATGAGGTAGCATGGAGACGGCTTCCCAGCCAAACAGGAAGCCGGGCACCATGTAATGACTCGCCGGCCAGCTTCCTGATTGGTTGGGAAGGCAGGACAAGTGACCAATCTAGGACAACATAGCTGAACTGGAAAAGTGAGCAGAATTGGAGAATGTTTCCAAATCAGCTATGTTGTCCTAGATTGGTCACTTCTTCTGCCTTCTCCAAACTCTTCACCCTTTTGTGAAATTCCCTGTAAATATTTCTTTTTATATCAGCTCTGGTACTTTATCAGAGCACTAACTTGCACCGGGAGTAAAATGTACTCAGCAAACTGATAAATGTCACACGATTCTTCTAGAAAGATTCTGATACCACTCAAAAGGAAAGGAAATGTCCTTCTATATGTACACAACATATCAGTAATGGAAAACAAGTTGGTGGAGGTTATAAACCTGACAAGCAGACAGCAAGTGAAACACAGCAGAATACAGAAGTCTGATTACAGATTCCAAGTTAGCTGCTGTTGTGAAATCTTCCTCTCACTATTACACAATCAGCCCTCTGTTCTACAGATGACGCATGCTGGTTGGTGGGCTGAGCTCATCTACTCCTCACATTCTGATCTGACCTACAGTAACAAAACACATACAGCAATATCACATGAAAAGTCAGAATTTGTTTAAAGCTGAACTCCAAGAAAAGCAAATATTGTGTAATTACAAGAAGCGTGTGCGTTCTCATTTGAATCTTGCTGTGCTTTGTGCATTTCTTACAGATCTGGGCAGAAGCTTTGGAGATTCCTGTAATAAAGACCAGCCATTGCTGTGCAGGGTGACTGGTCTTGTATCCGCCTATTCCTGTAGTTGTCTGCAGGCAGCCTGTAGTGGGTGGAGACTGCTGGGTCCCTCCCACAACTTTACTCTATTTTGCGCACATGGGTATTATGCTTTGTGGATTTGTGTGCACCAAATGTGGATTTATAGGATTATAGGATTAGGTCGGCTAGAACTATGAGGTGAGTGAAAAGCACTCACCTCATAGTTCTCCTCCTTTAATCTATATAGAATCTCGAATCTCAGAGACCGCGACTACAAAGGCTTCCAATGTGATTGAGAACTGGTGATTAGTCTGAGATCCAATCATAACCCTTTTGAAATCCTGAGAAATCTAATTTTGCCTTTAGTGTGTGTGGGGCCCATGGAATGAATGTGAGAGTGATAGAGTGCTACTGACAACGTTGTCTTTTTATTGGGGATTTGGGAAGAAACAAGCTGATGGTGTTCTAAATTTTGTAATAAATAAATTACATTTATACTCATATGCTGGTCCCGGTCTGTTAGGTAACCACTTTTTTCAGTGATCCCTAATCTCTGAAAGACCCCTTCTTTTTTTTAAATGTGGATGTATATCCTTTATGGCTATTGAGAAACCTACACATTATTGTATTTATAGCAATAACTCCTGCAGTATACAATTTCGGTCACTAGATGGCAGTGTTTATAAGTTCTGTTATATCTATTGTAGATTCTCTGTTGTATTGAATAAGGTAGAGAATAAAGCTGTGGCTTCCTTCTTGCTTTCAAGCCATGTGCAGCATGCATATCAGACTGTGTGCTTGTGTTTCTCTGTGAGGCTGTGCAAGAAGTTCCAACAATTTGCATTAAAGTTTTTGTGTTCAGAGTTCAGCTTTAAATTTCTTTTAGGATGGCCCCAGGGCTCTTCGGCACCATATTACTTAGTCCAACAAATATTAGAAGAACATGGGAAAGTTGACACTCCCACCAAAATTCACATATATAAACACCAAGGATCAAATATTTGTGTAGAATACTACTTTATTAATGTAATGTAATTATAGAATCATTTTGTATCATTCTACCCCTAAAGAGGAACTCCACTCAGTACTAACTGCATCTAAACCAGCCACATAATCCGATGGATGTAACAGTCAGACAAATAGATGTGTTCAATGAACAGGTCTAGACCAGGATAGGGCATGACTCAATCAATACTTCTTTCTGCTCCCTATAAACAATGCTTAACCACTTGCCATCCGCCCATTGTCAAAACACGGGCGGATGCTTCCCGGCGGGTGGACGTGATTTTTTTTACTGCTGGCTCAAGCAGAATCCCACCGGTAATGTAAACAGCTGTTACATACAAGCGTCCAGCCGGCTCTACAGCCGCCCGATCGCTTGTATGACAATGCACAGTGCACCCCTCTCTCTGCTGCCGCTGCTGGTTATCCCGGGCGTCCCCCGAGGGCCCAGGACCAGCACAGTGGCTGCTCTACTCGCTGATATCTCCTCCAATCTCTAAAGGTGGAAGTGATGCGTATTACCTATTGATGTGTGTTGCCTTTAGCTGTCATTTCTCTGGCTGCTATAGCCAGAGAAGAAGCTGGAGGAGCAGATCTCTGCTTCATCAGCTTCTTTGGGGGTCCCAAGGTGACATTAGTGGTCTTAGAGACCCCTGATGTCTCCATAAAGAGGACCTGTCACTGTATATTTGTTCAAGTCAAGTGTAAAAAAAAAAAAAATGTTAGTCACTGACATTAAAAAAGAATAAAAAATCCCCTGCACATATGATCTTAAATCAGGTGCGCTTACCTGCGAAAACAATGACTACGCCGCACATGTTACATATCACTGCGAACGTCGGAGTGAGAGAAATCATTCTAGAACCATCAATCACTGATAACACTAAACTGATGAGCAGTAAAAGCTTCTAAAGCGTCGCCTATGGTCAATTTTAGGTATGTTATTTTTTTGCGATTTCACAGGCACACGTCATTTTAAAGCTTGACATGTTTAGTGTCTATTTACCTGACGTGACCCCGTCTTTTATATTTTACCAAAAAATTGGGTACTAATAAATGTATAACCTAATGTAGGGAAAACAGTTTTTTTTTCAAAATTTTCAGAACATTTTTTATTATATAGTAAAAATAAAACCCCCAGTGGTGATTAAATACCACCAAAAGAAAGCTCTATCTGTCCCCCAAAAAAGGGTATAAAATTCATTTCAGTACAGCGTTGCATGACGGAATAAACGTCAGTCAAAGTACCGCAGCGCTGAAAAATGGGCTGGTCAGGAAGGGGGTTTAGCACCACGGTTAAAGTGGTTAACCTGGTAAGTGGTTAAAGAGGAACTTTACCCATATGTTCAAAAATACAACAAACACCTTAGAAATTTGTAATTACAGTCTGTGTCCCCATTATGGAGATTCACCCCCTCTATTGGTCCTGGTGACCGTTATCACTGAAAAAATAAAAGAAACATTTTCAAATATTGAGTTGTCAACAGAACAGGAATAGAGGTAAAATCTTCCAATAGAGACACTTGTTCTGGTGACCCTTTTGACAACCAGAGATTTCCCTAACTTTGGATGAATTTCCTCTCACTTCCTGTTGTGGCTATTGGACAGGAGGGAAATCCCCCGATTGAGACACCGATGGCAAAAAAAAATTAAAATGACACAAGTAATAACTTTCTCTTACTCTATCCAAAATGTAAAAAAAGTTTTGACTTCAGCCCTACTTTAAACCCTTCACGACCCATGATGGGATAATCCCGTACAAAAAAAACATAAAAATAGGGTGCGCCTACGTACGAAAAAGACGATTGCGCTACACATGTTGGGTATCTGCGCACACGCCAGAGTGAGAGCAATATTTCTAGGGCAAATATTAACATGTATCTCTAAACTGATGACCTGTAGGGGCTCTTAAAGTGTCGTTTATGGACTTTGTGGGTTACTCAATTCTGTCGCAGTTTCACGCACGCACACAATTTTTAACCTGGGCATGTTGGGTATCTATCTACTCGTTGTAACCTCATCTTTTATATCTTTTATGGTTTTATATAGAGTTTTGGGGCACTAAATTTAACTTAAGTGCATTTTTCACAACATTTTTGGGTTTGATAATAAGTTGCACTAATGTCGTGCAGCATAAAAATGTGCAACTGTCGCCATTTTATTCTATAGTAACTTGGCTTTCAGAAAATATATAATGTTTGGGGGTTTTAAGTAATTTTCAGGCCTAAAATGTGGATTATAACATGTAAACAAAAAATAAAATAAAAAAAAGCCCTGGTCCTTAAGGGGTTAATAGGAACCTTTTCCATTGCTGCTTCCTGAATGCCGTTTTTTCTCTTTTATTAAATCCCAATGGAGATTTTCTATTTCAGAACTTTGCTGCAACCGTATGGTCTCATTGATTGCAGTCGTCACGTTTGACACGCAGCACCGCCTGCAGAGCACGGCATGCTGTTTACAGTTGGTCGCGGCCGTGTGTACGAGCATGAGTGGCCACTATATTAAGTTAGGTGGGCAGTCGGAGGGGCAGTAAAAACGCAGATCAATCAGCTGTTTTTACAGCCCCTCTGCCTCCCGTGTGAAGGAAGCCTTACAGTAGGCGTGGGCAACTCCGGCCCATCTGTGCTTTAACTACAAATCACAACATGCCTCTGCTTCTGGGAGTCATGCCTGTAACTGTCAGTCCCGGCAGCTGCGCAATGCCTCACAACAGCTGGAGGGCCGGCGTTGCCCACTCCTGCCATACAGCGTTGTGCTTTTAGACCACTGAAAGCTGATTTGTAGTTGGTTGTTATGGGCTAACAAAGATCTAATTAGAACAAGTCGGAAAAATGCAACAGCAAATGTCACAATGTCATTGTTTAAGGCATAAACAATGTCCACAGCAGAACGAAAAGGAAGTAAAAAAGTATTATACAGAGGAGCAAGTTTAATAAACAATAGTAACAATGATTATTTAATAAGACGTTAATGAACAATAGTGACACTGATTACGTAATAAAAAATAAATGAACAATAGGGATTATTTAGTAAAACAAGTCAGGAAAGTGTGAAATTCTAAAGTTCTAGTGAACATGTCTCTACTTTTGCATCAAGAACTGTCTGTATTATTATTGTCCTTGCTATTAATGACTGCAATGGAGACAGTGACATACCAGCTGTAGATGTCTCCCCTCTTGGCGTCCAGGCGTTGATGTCCCTCCGGCTTCTTGGGTCTGTCTGCGTCCCTTCGTCTCCAGCAAGTCCCTGCAGGGCACCACCTTCACTACTGACTTCAGTCTTATGACTGCTGTTTACATGCAGCTGCTCACAAGTGTTTCAGCCTAGAGGGCTGCTGGGATCTGTAGTCTCAAAGAAGAGGAGAGGCCAGTCCAAATGTCATCAGAAACCAAATGATATCCCTGACAGGAAAGCTAATTTCATTGCTGGACAGCAGATCAGCCATTAGATAAAGCTGAATTATAAAAGAGTAATAACAACTTCTTTATTTCATTTATGGAGACAAGCTTCCTGCTGCAAATTTTCAGCCGTTTCCTGGTTGGTTGAGGTTGTTTGCCCTAAAACATTAACCCCCTAATGACCAAAAGCACTTTATACATAATTAACCACTTCCCTACCAGAGCAATTTTTCTGCTGCAATGTCAGCACTGAGGCTGAACGGTGCTGTATACCACTGGTTCTCAACCTGTGTAACCTCAGGACCCACATTTGTCATTGGTCATTAACTCGTGACCCAAGTCGCACGGCACTGGAACGCATGGCATTGCGGTACTGCATGTTCCAGTGCAAGCGATCAAACTGTGTGCGGGAGGTGTGTTTGGGGTGCCGTTCAAATGAATGGCAACACAATGCACCTCTCGCATCAGAATGAAGAATTGGTGCGATTGCGTCGTAGTTTGTGATTAAAACACTGACAGACACACAACCACAGACACAATCTCACACACTCACAGACATTCACACTCCCAACTATTTTTTAGGAGTTCAGTGTGGGCTGCTGTACTGTGACAGAGCTCCATCCATACTTGCATTGCTTGTATAGCTCCCTTGCACTCCCTGTAGTGGTGGCGGGAGCCAGAATGTGATGTCACTCCGGTCACGCAAGGGAGCTGTAAGCAATGCATGTATGGATGGAGCTCCCTCACGGCCATACCCCCAGCCCACCACACCTAAAGCACCTTGGCACCAGGCAGCATATTTTGAATGGCTGTGCGGCAGAAGAACTGACAGTGCTGTGCTATGGGGGAGGCTGAGGAGCCTCTTACCTAGTGCATTGGAAGACATGCGGCAACCCACTGAACATTGGGTCGCGACCCACTTTTGGGTCACGACCCACCAGTTGAGAACCAGGGCTGTATGCCTTGCTGCGGGCTTTGTGTCCCTGAAAATAAATATACAGTATGTTGCTTTTGACTGGCAGTGCTGCTGTTGCAAGGAATGGCACTAGTATTGCAATAGTAAAACTCCATTGGGATTATAAAAAACAAATGCATTCAGCAGGCGGCATGTCGTTACTTGAAGGCTGGGCATCCGCTGCTCCACCACCCGCTGAAAAGCGAGCCACTATAGATCTCTGTTCAGGGGTCGGTGGAGGTGGGAACTTGGCCTTGTGAACTCAGTCTGAAAAGATGGCAGTTGCAATTTTTTTTTTTTGCATGATATGATATTTGCACTGCTTATCAAATCTATATTTCCAGTAAAAAAAAATACAGTAAATTAAATATAATGCACAGAAACACAATATCATTCCCACATAAAAGATACGTTTGTGTTGAATAAATAAATACCAAATATGTTGAACCTCAAGACTGTATGTACCCACAAAACAGCAACAAAAATGGTAACCAATTCTCTACAGCCGCCTTAATCACTTTTATTTAAAAGCCAGGAGGCGGCTGAACAAAAAGACTTCAGGACTCAATGTAAGTCGACATACATCAAGAATCCTCAAGTGGTTAATAAAGTATTGTTCTGTGTCACCTTAGGGGCCCATTCACACCAACATGTTGTGCTAAAGGCACAGTATATGTGCACTTAGTGCGTCACCCCATGGCGTACTGCACCGTGCACTGCATTGCCATTTCTTTTGAATGGCATCCCAACTCACCTCCCAATGGGCAGGTGGATGGGTACTGCAACAGCATGTGTGGTGGTAAAAAAAAAGTAAGATACGCATTACTTTTTTTTATTGCACAGCAATGCAACGCATAATATTGTGGTACTGTGTGTTGTGTAACAGACACCTGTCGTAGTGAGAGTTGGGGTGGCATCCAGATCGAATGGCAACGCAACACACCAGCACACCTATCGTGCAGTGCACCATGCGATAGCGTGTGCTAAACGCACAGATTCCATGCCTTTAGTGCAACGCTTTGGTGTGAGTGGGCCCTTAAGCCCAACTAAGGCGCTATTTTTTTTTCCTTAAAGGTACCCCAGCAGTTTGAAAAATGCAGTTCTGGCTGCAATACTCCCCTGCTACACAGCACTGTTCCTTGCAGTAATTTCTCTTTCCCCACAAAATTGTCTTTAACCAAAAGACTGAGGACATTCAGTTAGTGCAGGGTGCCATGGACCCAACACATGAGGGAGCATTGCCACGCCATCCTCAGTTCACCCTGAAGACTGCACACAAGAAAAAAAAGAGGACTCTGCTTGTTACATGATGGGGCTAAAGACATTGGGAGAAGTTAAGTAAACTAAAACTAATAGGTCATTCACAAAAGGGTGAAGAGTTTGGAGAAGGCAGGAGAAGGGAACAATCTAGGACAACATAGCTGAACTGGAAAGTGAGCCGAATTGGAGAATTTTCCCAAATCAGCTACGTTGTCCTAGATCAGCGGTCGCCAACCTTTCGGACCTCATGGACCACTAAATTCATCATTTTATATCCTGCGGACCACTAATATGATTTAAAAAAATATATATAGATATATATTCTCATATTTTTTGTTTCCTCATATATTCTCTAATATATATTGTTTCTATATATAGAGAATCAAAAAATATGAGAATATATCTATATATACATACAGTATATATACACATACATACATAGGTGCGGGTGTGCCTGCAGGAGTGGCAGTGCTGGTGGAGGGAAGGAGCCGTGCCGCCTGCCCCGGCCTAGTAATATTGTTTCCCCCCCTATTGAATCTGCCACTGGCGCCCGGGGCACATGCCCCCCTAGCTTCAGTACTGCAGTAAGTGAAGAAAAATTTCCCTAATAGTACAGCAAGAAATAAACTGGCAATGGGTCGGTCCCCTTGTGATGATGTCACTCTGCTTCTTTATCCTGAGGGGACCCTGCTGCTGGACAGCCAATAGAAAGTGTCCACGGCATGCAGGCAGTGATGAGGAAGGACACCAGAACATAAAAGGAAAAGGGAAGATTGGGGACTAGTGATGTGCCTGTTCACTGGAGTTTGCTCCAGGCTTGTGCAAAACTGTCAGTGACACACACTCCTCCTCCCAGTCCAATCAGATGTGGCCAGGGCATTCCTCAGCCCTTAGGCATAGCTGTGGGGTGGAGAATGCCCCAGCCGCAACTGACTGTACTAGGAGGGGGGTATCATTTTTTGCAGGCTAGGTTACATTTTGGCAAAGAGAGCTTGCACCAACCCCCCCAAATCTCTATTCTTCGCTCTTCCTTTGTGTACTTCCTGCGGTGCCCTTGCATTTCCTGCGTGATGTGGACACTTGGCTGTCCAACAACGGGGTTACCTTAGGTTCCAGAAGGGGGTGACATCATTGCAGGGAGCTATTTGCAGCATTGAATAGCGGTCCCTTGTCGCACCAAGAAACGGTGGCGGCAAAAGACCTAACAGGGGGGCATAGGTTTGTCATGCCTGCTCTCAAATACCCAATTTACATAACACCTGCTCAGCTGCTGTGTGCATGGACATAATGAGGGGAATGTATTATTACTGGAGCAGACAGAATCTGGAGCAGTTGGCCATAGTAACCAATCAGCTTCTGTCTGTCATTTTCATCTTATGTGAAGCTGATTGGTTACTATGAGCAGCTGCTCCAATTTTTATAAATTCCCCCTAATCTAGACAAGGTCAATCCTTATGAGCCACTGTAACAGGGCTCCTCTCTCCTCCATTGTTAGCCCAGGGCCCGCCGACATGACAAGGAGACACAGGCACATAGACAGTGTGTACATAGCATGTGATTATAGGCAGCAGGTGACGTCCCGTGACCCAGGCAGCGCCAGGCTCCTCCCCCAGCCGGAGGGGGCGGAACAATCTGGCGGCTCCGGCAGGAAGTGACGACACGTGCCTGTAGGTTGTTGCTGCGCGGTATCCCCCTCCCCCCCTAAAAGAAAGGAAGAAAATCCGTGTGTGGAGAGCGCCGCGTCCTGAACGAAGTCTGACCGAGTCCTGACCGTACCCGTGAGGTGAGAGAGCGGCCTGGGGGTGGAGGAAGGGAGGGTCGGACGCTGCTTTTAGCTGGAGCTCCTTGACAGGGATCACTCCTAGCCAGGATGAGGCCTAGTCTACCCCATCCAGTGTATCCCCTCCATCCGCAGCCCGGGATTATTTACCGGCTCGGCATCTGTCCAGTATACAGGGACAACACTGACGATAGAGGAGTCCACTGTGTGGACACACCATGGAGGGCTCAATCCACAGCTGGCACTGCACAGGGGACAATGGAGGCATATAATGTCTCCATTATAGATGGCCTTTCAGCTTCCAGCGTAGGAATTGGTGTTTGCTATGTGTACATTGTCTGTAAATGTAATGTAGAGAGTCATTGTAAGAGCATATCTACATGCTACCTTGCTGACAGCAAGACCTCTACATACATGACCAGAGAATGACCCGATATTCGATCTCCTTTACAGATGATTACATATCATCATCATCATGTCATACATGACCAGAGAATCTCCTTTTTATAGGTGATTGTATATAATGATCAGTCATACATGACCAGAGCATGCTCTGATATTAGATCTCCTTTACAGATGATTACATTTAATCAGTCATACATGGCCAAAGAATCTCCTTTTATAGATGATCAGTCGTACATGACGAGGGAATGCTCTGATATCAGATCTCCATTACAAATGATTACATACCATCAGTCATACATGACCAGAGATTGCTCTGATATTAGTAGATCTCCATTATAGATGATTACATTTAATGATCAGTCATACATAACCAGAGATTGCTCTGATATTAGTAGATCTCCATTATAGATGAGGGTATATAGTGATCCGTCATACATGACCAGAGATTGCTCTGATATTCGTAGATCTTCATTATAGACGAGGGTATATAGTGATCCGTCATACATAGCCTGAGATTGCTCTGATATTAGAAGATCTCCATTATAGATGAGGGTATATAGTGATCTGTCATACATGGCCAGAGATTGCTCTGATATTAGTGCATCTCCATTATAGATGATTGTATATAGTGATCCGTCATACATGGCCAGAGATTGCTCTAATATTAGATCTCCATTATAGATGAGGGTATATAGTGATCCGTCATACATAGCCAGAGATTGCTCTGATATTTGTAGCTCTCCATTATAGATGAGGTTATATAGTGATCCGTCATACATGGCCAGAGATTGCTCTGATATTAGTAGCTCTCCATTATAGATGAGGGTATATAGTGATCCGTCATACATGGCCAGTGATTGCTCTGATATTAGTAGATCTCCATTATAGATGAGGGTATATAGTGATCCGTCATACATGGCCAGAGATTGCTCTAATAGTAGATCTCCATTTTTTATTTTATTACAGGTATCTATATAATGCTGATGATTTTAACATGGTTGCACATTCACATCAGTCCCTGTCCTTGAGGAGCTTGCTATGTAAAGTCCTTGTCCTAAATACATAATGGGGACCAATTTATGTATGAACCAATTGAAGCGGAGCTTACCTCGTTTTCCCTAGCCGGCGCCACTTCTGGGTGCCAGTCCTTAGACTGTCTTGACTGGCCAAATTAGCTGCTCATGCGCACGGCAGTTTGTTCATTCTGGCACTGAGGTGTGCTGCGAATGTACATTCTAAAGAAGATTGCGAACAGGTAGATAGGTTTGTTTTATTGCTGAGGTGACATGCTATATGCTGATTTGTAAAGCACTGCGTACATTTTCAGTGCTATATAAATATCGGTAAAAATAAATAGTATATCTTCTGCATTAATGTGCCTGTCTGCAATGTTTTTTTTTTGCAAGTTTAGTTCCACTTTAACCTTCCAGCATGTCTTTTGAAAGGACACTGAAGTACCTGTAGAAACACACACAAGCACAGGGAGAACATGCAATTCGTGTCCTCACTAGTAATTGAACCTAGGACCCCAGTGCTGCTAAGCAGACATGCTAATCACTGAGCTACTGTGCTGTCCATTTATTGCATTTATTCAATGATCAGTCCCACTGCAGAAGTCTTTCTTTGCTCTGATTACTCCACGATGATAAACGGGGACATCAGGCCACATGCCCCGTAATTGTGTCTTTCAATCACTTTCCATTCAATGCGTTATGAATAATCTCCATAGAGACAGAAAGCTGTGGTCACACGTCTTATTGCACGAATGATTGGTACCACGTGTTGGTGTTCTCTTACCAGAAAAATTATGGACAGTTTTCCATCCCCTTTAGGACATGGAGAACAATTTCCGTTTAACAGAACCTTTATAATTAAAACTCTATTTAAACAATAAGTGGATGAGAATATTGTCAGAGTTAAACCTTGACTATGAACAGATCCAAGGTATGTATATGTAAGGTGGGAGGGAAAAAAGTAAAAAATAAAATAGGGATGCACTGATACCGAGTATTTGGGTGAGTACTTGTACTCGCTCCAATGCTCTGATACCACAACTTCCAGTCACAGGGAAATTTCCTCTGACCGGTTAGTGCCACGAGGGAACATGAAGGCGATTTCCCAGCCAATCAGCATCAAGCCGACCAAAAAACATGCAGTCCGCTTCCCGGGTAATAAAGAAGCTGGGCAGCAGTTAATGACACCCCAACCAACTAATCGATGATGATAATAGTTGACAACTATTCTCATAATCTATTATCGATTAATCTGTTGCAGTCCTACCATAAAAACATCTTGCTGCCATTTAGCTATTTATTTTTTTCTGTACGTTGAGCCGTGCATGTGCAGCTCAATGCACTGACCCAATATGCGCACGGGAGTTGCATCATTGGGGCACGCTCAATGACGTCGCTGAGGGCTTGAAACCGTGACAAGGATAGAAGAGCTGGCCGAGGGGGGTAGTGGGGGGTGGTTTTGGGTTGCAAGCACTGCAGGGGGATCACTTTGGCATTTAAGCCTGCCATAATGTGCTAATATGCTGAATACAGCTTCCATTCATTATGACTAAGGCCCCTTTCACATGCGCAGCCTGTCAGTTTTTCAGGCGGACCCAATTCTAGTTGGGTTACCCCCCAACTTCGGCCGGGTCCAAGAAACACGGATGTGTCTACGGTCCATACTGCTAGGACTCTTTCCTGCTCAGCCCAGATGAAAGGGGCCTAATAGCTCCAGGGGGCTCCCCCCTGATTTCTGCTTAAGGTAGGTTGCTGTCTTAGTGATGTTTTGGGTTGGACTGATGGAGAATAGAGGAAAATTAGGTATCATTAAAGTAGGGCTGGGCAATAACCAGGAGCCAGGTAGCCAATGCTCTGGTTGTTAATGGAGCTGGCTCCTTAATAAAATCAAGACTGGCTCCTGAATTCCATATTAAAGTTGAATTAAACTCCATTCTTTTTGCATATATCTATGGCTTGCTAGAAGTAGACTTGTGTAAAAACAACAACAAAATAGTTTCCAAAAAAGGTTTTACTTCCTGTCTCTGCTGCTCGCTCACGTCCGAAGTTCTGAAGATTCTCGAGCATCATGATGGGGCGGGCGCCAGTAGAGATGTTCGGCCGGGAGGAGAGACACAATACGAGTCAGTGCATGCTGACAGACACGGTGGGACACACGACGCGGCAGTCGACACTGGATCAGAGACTGACACCAGCGCTGGAGGGACTCCGGAAAACTACTGGAAGGAAGATGATGATCGGATCAAGAGGCAACATTTAAGGTAAGTCTAACCACTTGCTGACCGGAGCAATTTCTTACATGTGCACACACATGATCAAATCTGTATTTTTGGCTAGAAAACAGCCTCAGAGCCCCTCTGCATTTTCTGAAAGCAGAGGCCTTGTAGAATAAAAAGATGCTAGTTGCAATTTTTTATGTTGAGTTTATCAAACCTGTATTTTTAAATACACTAAAATGAAATATAGTGTACAGAATATAATACCCACATTTTTGGTAAAATCTAAAAGACGGGGGGGTCACGTTGGGTAAATAGATACCAAACATGTCAAGATGTAAAATTGTGTGCGTCTGTGAAACTACACAAGACTACAATATCCCAAATTTCCCATAGGCGACGCTTTAGATGCTTTTACTATTTATCAGTTTAGTGGTAACCATGATTGATGGCCCTAAAATTATTGCTCTCACTCAGACTTTCGTGGCGCTATGTAACGTGTGGCGCAATTTTTGTTTTTGCACGTAGGCGCATTAGACGCGTGTTTGCATTGTATGAGGGGGGCGGGGGACTTTGCATTTTCTTTAATTTTTTTTTGTTTACACAACTTTATTGCTGTCATATAGTGAGCTAACAAGCCCCCTATGTAATAGCAAATAGGATGTAACGCGCCCTCTTTTTATAGAGACATCAGAGGTCTTTCAGACCCCAAATGTAACCTAGGGACACCTAAGAAGCTGAGGAAGCAGAGGTCTGCTTCACCAGCTTCTTCTCCTGGCTCTAGGAGCCGGTAAATGTGCACAGTGACACTGGAAGTGATGTAATACACGTCACTTCCGGGTCCAGTGATCGGAGGAGAGATCAGCGGCTGGAAGCCTGATGATCTCCCTCCGATACATCAGGGGAGACCCGCCGTGCAGGTCCTGGGCCTGACCGATCGAAAAATTTTGATCATAGTTTTAAAAACGAAAATCGGTGACGTACCATCAATTGTTCAATTGTTGTTTGAAAATTGTACAATGTATGGCCACCTTTTAAGGATAGGATTATGAGCTGCAGATTCTAGGTAGTTCTCGGATATGTGGTGTTAGAGTCCATGTGAATGTTTGTTGGCAGATATTAACCCATTTGGTTTCTGTTTCACTCGCTTTCAGCCAGCAAAGAAATGAAAGGTTCAAGTCAACCTACCACTGATAGTTCTGATAATTTAATACATTTACTTCAGAACATAGATTAACAAGCAGATGAGTCAATTGATTTTGAATGGTATTCACATTCCTAGATTATACAACCAAACAAAGTAATTAAGAGACTTTCATAATACCACATTAGAACTGGGATTGAAAAAAAAAAAAACTTCCTTTTATTA